AGCTGAGAGAAGATCTTACGAGGGTACAGAGAAGGCAGAGCTGGACTGTGGTGCACTCAGACGTGTCTTGCAGAGATAGAAAGACAGGCAAGTTAGAACACATGAAATTGAGGTTAGGTGCAAGGAAAAATATTTTACCCCAAGGGTAGTCAGATATTGGAACAGATTACCCAAATTGTCTGTGATATTTCTGTCCTTGGAAATATTCAGAACACAAGTACACAAGGGCCTGAGCAACCTCATCTGATTGGACCTGACTTGAGCAGGAGTTTGGATTAGATGACCTCCAGAGGTCCCGTGCAACCTAAGCTCTTCTGTGATCCAACAAAGAAATATGTTTGGGCATAATAAAGATCATCTAGAATGTCAGGCTATGAGAAGCTTACCTAGAGCTTTGTCCTTCAAAGTAAAAATGAGACTGTTATGGGACCAGTTTGTATGTAGTATGTGTGAGCAGAGTTGCAGTACTGCATTCCTCTGAATATTAGAATCATTAAGGTTGGAAAAGACCTCTAAGATCGTCAAGTCCAGCCATCAGACCAACACTACCATTAAGCACTAAGCCATGTCATGAAGTACCACATCATTTTGCTCAATCATAAGCTCACCCACACTTGCCAAAGTACAGAAAAAAACGTTCATCATAGGCTGGCCTCTTTCACCAGCTTTGTACTTAGACCAGTCTTTTTTCTTCAGTCTACTTTTTCCATCATCTGCTTGTCAGATAACCTGCAGTTAACTGCGATAGTTAGGTGGGAGTTATTTTTGAGTCTGGGTTCAGGGTGTGTTTGACAGGATTGTGTATATCTCCATTCTCTCTCTCCTCTAGAAGCCCAGGTCAAATAGGGATTTCCTGCTGGACTGGAAACTAGTCCTTCCAGAGCTCCCAGTAGGCACCAGTGAGTTGCCTTGAGTTTGATTTACTCTTTCAGGAAGTCCCTGCACTAGGTCTTTCAGTGGTGAACCCTGTGGTTGACCTGGACCCTTACGTGGTGCCTCAATGCTTGCAGAGTACTTCAGAAGTATAGGAGAGATACGACTCCTCCGAATCTCCATTTTTCTTTAAACTTGCATTATGTTCCAGGTTGATACAGTGCTATGGTAGGTACATCAGATGTCTTCACAGTTCCTCAGAGGAGGCACTGATTCAGCAAGTAACCCTGCATGTGCACTGCTTTGACTGTGTACATAGTGCCTGTCACATCCATGCTGAGTGGTGGGAAACTCAAAGCATTGGAGACAAAACAAGCTTATGTAGGGTAAGTGTATTCTGAACAATAAGCACATTTAAAATTATTTTGATTTTTCTAATCCTTTCTTTCTGTCTTTGGCTATGACTTGTTTTTAATTCTAAAGTTGTGATCAGGAATGGCAGGGTCAAGTTGATCACCTTCAGGTCTGTGGCCAGTTTCTGATGAACACTTAAGTCAAAGCTCCCGTTGGCGGATGGTCTTTCTGGTTTCTGTGGTGCAGAATGAGAGGGATTTCTGTGGTCTGTACAAGGCTGCAGGCTGCCCAAGAACTCACCACTGGAGGAGGAACAGCAAGGGGGTTGGGCAGCTATTGATAAGCATATGTGGGCTGCTCTCTGTAGCCTTCTCAAGGTCAGAATTGGGAGCCACCAGGAAAGAGAAGAATGGGAAGAAGAGAAGGAGAAGAAAAAAAAAAACAAAAAACCAAGAGGATTTTGTGATTTAATTTCATTTGGACAAAGGTACAGCAGGTTAACAAATAGGACAATTTCAGTGAGATTAGTGTCTCGTATTTTAACATTTTCAGATGTTTTTGTAGATTGAAGTAAATTGATCTTTCAGATGGAGTATATTTCCCTTCAATTTAAAAGATGGTTGATGCTGCTGAAAATGTTTTTTACAGTAGTGCCATGAAGATAAAGCAAATTAAGAAAAGCTAAATATTTTTATTAAAGAAATAATTTCACGTGGTTTCTAAACCAGAAATGCATGTGTCTTGTAGAAGTGACAACTGTAGGATTTCTTGTCATCTCTATGACAAGGATTGTTTAGACTGCCCACAAAAGTGAAGTTAAAACCTTTGTCAGATATCTGCCATGAATATTTTTTATATTGAGATCTTTGAGAGGGAAGAGGCTCAGAACCTCCTTTAGTTACTTGGAACCTATTCTTTTTCCTACATTTTTCATTCTCAGTCCTCTCTAGTTAGAGCAGGGATCAGAAGCCAGCTGCTGAGGTTACTCTTTTGTGCTGGGTAGTGATGGCAGAGTGAGAAATAAACTACGAGCTGTGACCAAAGGCATACTTGTAATTACTTGAATATAATGATAATTGGCCTTAATACTGTAACAAATGCTCTGAGCTTGCACATCCAAACTCTGCAGTTTGAATCAATTTTCTTGTTTACAAAATCAGCTTGCTTTTATTAACACCAAAATTACCCAGTAAGAGAATGGTGAGTGATTGAGTTCACTGCAAAAGAAAGGCAGAAAAATACTGTGTGCAGTTAAATGGGTTTTAAATGGGCTCCAGGATCAAGCTGGAGTTTGAAGGGACAAGGGATTGAGTGAGAATAGGAAGTGTTGATTTACTTCGTTGATACTGTTGGAGAGATCTGTTCTCTCCTCCTGCCTGGTGTAGTTTTAGACTCCTAAACTCAGGATGCAGAGATCTAGAGTAAAGTCTAGTAACAGTTGATGCCAAAGCTCTACCGAACACAGTTGTGTACAAAGTTAAATTACCTGCTTGTAAATACTTAGCACTCACAACAGCTTTCAGCATTGGAAGATCCATTTTGTCAGCCTGAAACTGGGACGTGAACTTTCTCCTAAAATACAGGTGTCCACACAAACACATCCCCCTTAACACTACATCCCACTACATCCTTGGCTCTCTCCACATGAATTATTCCCACTGCTTGTTGTTCAACACCCTGATCGGAAAGCAGATGAGACAGTTATTCCTGTTGTTGCTGATTTACTGTTACAGCTGCTTCCTCTTCTTGTGATTTAATTTGAAGTTGCAGCCCACCAGGGGGCTAATGGTCCCCACCTATGCAGCTTTAAAAGCTCACTGTTGTTTTCCACAGGAATGTTATTTCCATTCCTAGCCAGTGATTTTTTTTTTTCCCCCCTCACTGTTTGCCTGGTAACTGTGAGGTAGTATTCCATTAGCTGTTTTCATGAAAAACAGAAAACAACAAAACCCCAAAGCCATGCAACTGTTTAGATTGAAAGCTTAAAAAAAAGGAGAATTCCTTAGTTTCAGTAATTCAGCAAGTAAATTACTCTGTTTTGCAGGATTCTAATGACTTTTGGAGACTGATACAAAAAAAATCAGCAGGACATTAGCCATCCTTTAGATTCTTTGTTTCTCTTCTTTTTAAAATGTAACATATGTAATTAACTTTTTTTCTTTTTTTCTTATCTAAGGAAAATGTAGGGCAGGCAACAAACCCTAGTGTTTCATGCTATGGTACTGCCTGTGGTAGGATGAATTCCAAAAACATGAGCAGCTGCAAGGGGTCCAAGGTGTGACTGTGTAGTGCCAGCAGATCCTGTGTACCTGGTCAGGCACGGGGGAGCTCGGGCTGACTGTGACCACAAAGCTCTGACTACAGCTGGATAACCAAAGAGCAGTATTTCAGGAATGCTTCTACCAGACATCTTACAAGGACAGGGTCATGCATCTCTCTCACTAACTTATTCTTGATGCAAAACTTAAGAAGTGACGTGATTCTTGCTTTACCTTTAATTTTTTAGTATTCTAAATAATAAATGACCTTGAAAACTCTTCTGGACCCATGGGATTAACGTTGGTGCTCAGCATAGCCTGCGCTCCACCCTTATTCTTATAGTGCCATTTGAAGAGTTGCAGCCTTGAGGTTTTTTACAAAACTTCTGTTTTTCTAAGTTTAATACTTTTTATGTGATTAAAGTCTGTGTACATGTTTGTTTTCCTCATCTTAAATGTGTATTTGTAATACAGACATTTATGTTTTGCGATACGTTCTCTTCTGGTCCAAAGAGCACTTTGATTTATGCACTGTATAGCATTTGGACGTTTTCTTCACTGGTTCATCATCAGTATTAGAAATTTAACTCTTCACTGAGTTAATGGTATCTTATCTCACTGGGAATTGCAGGAGTCTTCCCCCCAGCCACTCTCTTTTGGATGGCTTATTTCTTTCTTTGGAGTGGTGAGGGAGAGGGAGATGAATGGTGTTGCACAACCCACGGGAGCTGGGCAGGCTGACAGAAGCGGCTGCATGAAACCTCATGGCTTCAGCTGCTGTTAGAGGGTGGTGCAATCTTTCCCCTCTTTGGGCAGGAGGATGTTATTACCAAATATCAGTGTTCAAGGTCACTACTCTTTACAATATAAATCAAATAAACTACTTCCTAAGGCCCTGATTGATGGAAAATAAAGTATTAACTGCCAGGAAACAAGTTTTCCAACACCATCCCTCAGTCACGCAGTGGTCGCTAATCTTTTCAATACAACCTTAATACTGCATTCCTAATTTTATAATTTAAAGAATAAAAGTTTTTAATAGTGATTCCAGGAGGAATGTTAATCACTGTGTTTTAGAGCTATTTTTTTTTGCCGATTGGAAGCTTATCAGTTAATAAGTTAACTTCTAGACCTTTTTGCAAACTCTTTGCTTGGGTAATATCACTTGTGGTGTTTAACAAATTAGGCTTAAAAAATAGAGCAGAGTACTAAACTTGACTGACTTACTGTAGAGGCAGCACAGAATTAGTCATTGGCTGTGAATGTTAATCACTCCACAGCAATGATAATTTACAGCATTGTTGTAGCACTCTTGTGCTCATAAAATGAACTTAATAACCCACTGCTACCCATGGGATAAGGCTTCCTTCTCCTTCCCTCCCCTTTGCCATTGAATACCCAGTCTAGCTGCATAATAGTCTTGTGAAATACTGCATTAAAAAGAGTGAGCAGCTGTATGATAAAATAAACAGCTCTAAACCAGATTTGTTAATTATCTCTTTCTTTTATTCACAGAGGGTGTTTGTGAGATATGGCTGACCAGTGAAGACACAGGGGCTTATGGCAGAGACATTGGCACAGACCTCCCTACGCTTCTGTGGAAGCTGGTTGAAGCAATTCCTGAAGGAGCTATGCTGAGGCTTGGCATGACAAACCCTCCCTATATTTTAGAGCATCTGGAGGTAAGGCAGAAAAGAGAATAATTTACATGTTGCAATGGACATTCATTGAGCGAGTCCGCGTGGAAACTTGTACATACTGTGTTTCACTTTAAGCAGTAGCTTAAAAAAATGGACTTACAGAACTAGACTAGTAGTGTTAAGCCATTTGCCTAAAGCAGCAAGTTATTGAGAGAATAAGATACTCAAATCATTTTGGAATGATGATATTCTGGAGGTGTCTGACCTGTGGAGTGTTATTGTAGCAACATTGCATTTGTGTGTATGCCTCGTGTTTTCAAGAGCTAAAGGCAATATCATTAGGAGGCAGTCAGCTATAGGATTGGATTTGTCTTCCTGCTACACCTCAGATGAATATTTCCAGGAACACTATATGGTGGTCTCACTCAATGACGTATTCATTATCCTGTGTCAAGTGGTACTCTGAGAACGTGTAGAACTTCCATGATAAGAAATGGAAATTCTAAGTCTGTATCTGTGTTAAAAAAATGATAACAAAGTAGTTCAATGAGACTAGAAGCAACAAAGTGTACAACAATGTGAATTTGAAGGAATACTGAATGTAGGAAGTGATACAGAGCAGGAAGTGAGTTTTGGGCCAAAAATAAGTTGGTTTGGTTGGATTGTGACCAAAGGAATTTATTGAATTTCATAGGAACTGTTTATAGAAAGAACCTAACTTTAAAGAGAAGGAAAAATGGAAGGATATAGAATAAGGTAAATTTTCTAACCATACACATTAGCAATATCCAAATAAATATTTGATGTCCATGATGCTTTCCCAAAGATACAGAATTAATGGTTGCCCTTAAATATTCTTATGCTGTCAAGGACAGTATTTTTTTTCACCAGAGTG